CCTTCGGACGAGTCCGTAGAGCCGAGTGGCCCGTACCCAGAGCTTGTAGGCTGCCTCATGTACCTGATGACTTGCACGCGACCTGACCTCGCGTACCCTCTTAGCATCCTTGCTCGTTACGTTGCGCCTGGGAGACACAGGCGAGAGCACTGGGAGGCTGCTAAGAGGGTGCTGCGTTACTTGTGCAGTACATCAGGCATGGGGCTGGTGCTTGGAGGACGCGACAGAGTTGTCCTCACTGGTCACTCGGACGCTTCTTGGGTGGACGACCTGGCTACGCAGCGGTCGTCGCAGGGTTACACCTTCAGCCTTGGCTCTGGTTCTGTCTCGTGGCGGTCCACCCGCTCGTCTTCTGTTCTCAGCTCTAGTTGTGAGGCTGAGATCTACGCCACGGCCATGGCTGCACAGGAGTTACGCTGGCTCACCTACCTGCTGACTGACTTGGGAGAGCGGCCTAGTTCTCCTCCAGTTCTGTACGGCGACAACAAGGCGGCCCTTGCCTTGTGTCAGGAGCACAGACTGGAGCACAGGACGAAGCACATTGCTCTTCGCTACTTTCTTGCTCGAGAGCTGCAGCAGCGCGGTCAGCTTCGGCTTGTGTACGTGGACTCGAAGGCCAACACTGCTGATATCTTCACCAAGGCGCTCCCGCCTAGTGATCATCAGCGGCACTGTACTTCTTTAGGCCTTGTGTCCACATTCCCTCACTTGCTTACTGCTTGACTTTCTTTGTACTGTACTTTATATATTTCTTGTTGCTTGTCTTGTTCTATATCTAGCACTGCATGTGAACTGGCCTTGTGGCCTTTGCTTGTGCTCGGAGTGTGGTGACGTTGTGATCCACCCTGGGCTTGTTTTGCTTTGCTGGACTGGTCTTGTGACCCTTTGTTCTCCCCCACTTTGCCTATGGGGGTGTGTTAAGTTGTAATGTGTTATATGTTGGTAGGCTGTAGTGGGGTAGCCAATATAGGGTACAACCCCAACTAGGGTTAGCTACTTGTACCCAACTGTTTCTTTCAATGCACCCATTCTCACGCTAGTATTCTGATATGTACATTATTGGTAGCTAGTCTCCTACATTATTGCTGTATGTAAGGAATTTTTCGGCATTCCTTACTGTGCCCATCGCGTACAGCAACAGCCGTTGTTCGCCCGTTACTGCTAACGGGGCTTCGCCAACTTCGCGCGCACTGTTTCACTAAATCTTGCACCGCTGGCCCGGCCGTGTCGGCCTACGCTTCGGGACTAGCCCAAAGCTCGATGCCACACCACATCACCGTTTGCATGTTTCGCGTATAAGTATTCGCTCATGCCTTCGCTCATACTTTGTACTCGTTTGACACCTAGTGCAATCCTCGTTACATCGTTCCATTGCACCCATAACACATCGTAATCAGAGACACCTCCTTTTCGGACCGAGCATCTCCGCACCCAGAGAAATCAACTTTTTATTTTGCACTCGAAGGGACTCACGCCCCTTAGCACCTAGGAGCCGCTGTCCACGCGTTCTCTGGTAAACGCGTGCTGCCACGACTGCGCCTAGAGCTAAGCCGAGCCGCCGTCCTTCGAAATGGCCGAACATGTCGACGTCACGACACTCACGCAGGAGCGCTTGAACCAGCTGGTGCAGCAGCTGCACGAAAGCACCGAAGAAATTGCGGCGCTAACGGCAGAACGCTCGTCACTGCAAAATGACGTCGCACGGGCGCAACAAGCACAATCGCAGACACACGGCACGCATGGACAAGCAGCACGTCAAGCATCACAGCACGAAAGCATGGAGCAACCCTCGAGTGCGGCTAGTGATGGTGCCGCCCGCAACGACGGAGACGACGACCACGGCACGACAAACCCCAAAGCGACGAATGCGGCCAGAAGCCAACCACGCGTCACAATTTCGGTGCCGAACGACGAGTCGGCGCTGCCGTCGCCGATGCCGCTCAAGCCGCAGCGTCCGCCTTGCTTCGATCTGAGTCAACGGGGTGTCCGACGGTTCAAGCATGGCTATTCACGATGAATGTATTCTTCGACGCCAACTGTGTTTCGTCGAAATCGGCGAAGATTCGATACGTTGTTTCGTTGCTGCGAGGACCCGCCATGGACTGGTGGCGCGTCATCGTCACGAAGCCGACCGACTACGAGACTCTACCGACATGGGAAGGACAAACCGGACCTTGGGCGCCGTCATATTTCGTCAAATACCCCAGTATCGCACGTGGGACGCGTGGTGCGCAGGTCTGCGCGCGAGATTCGAGCCAATTGCAGCTTCGATCGCGGCGCGTCAGAGGCTCCGCACTTGGCGCCCGTTCGGTTCCGTGCAAGACTACACCAGCGGGTTTGTGGCATTGTGAGAGCAGGTGGGCTACATGCACGAGGGAGAGCGAATTGACTGCTACATCGGCGGCCTGAAACACGACATCGCTTTGGAGATTCAGCTACGCAACGTCACCAAATTCAATGAGATCCTCGTTATGGCGGAAAAACTCGATATTCTACGCCGACTGAGACCGGGGTCCTACGGCAGCAGCAGCAGCAGCTGGGGACATCGACCTCGTGGGATGAACGAGCACGCCACGATATGCGCTGTTGCCGTGAATGACGTTGCCGCACCGTTTAAAGGGCGCTGCTTCTCGTGCAACAGGCTGGGGCACCGGAAGAGCGAATGCCCGGAAAACGCTAAGGGAAAGGGGGAAGCAAAGCAGCAGAAACAGACCAAGCAGCAGGGAAACGCTGGGAGTCAGTAGCAGACGGGCCCTCTACTGACAGGTCACGCCGCTCGCCCGACCCAACCGACCCTCACCGAGTGATCGTGCCAGTTCTTGCAATCAACCCACCCGGCCGAATAAGGAGGGTACAACGGTAGACAGCCCCATACTGCTTAGTGGGAAAATAGGGACAGACTTAGTAAAAATCTTCGTGGACGGGGGAGACAGCCACAGCCTGATCAACACCGCCACAGCACCGAGAATAAAACTGCAACTGGAGAAATGTTTACCTGAGATCGACGCACGACTGGTCGACGGCACGCCACTGGCGATACGGGAACGTGTGACCAAGTTCGGATCTGATGTAGGGGTAACTTCACTTTTACCCAGGAAATGCTCGCAACGACCCTCGACGGGACCGACATTTTACTCGGCCGTGATTGGTTGCGACGACACAATCCGCGAATCGACTGGACGACGGGTGACTGCACCGTGCGAGTGAACGGTAACAAAATTGCCCTACCTCACTGGAGCTCGCCCGAGTCTTCGTCGGTGCGTGTCAACGCGATCACGATGAAACGCGCCGTAGCGGCAGGAGCTGACGTGTATGCGGTTGACATCCGGGAAGCCGAGGGAGCAAACAAGGGGAGCTATGTACAGAAACTGCTCGCCGACGTACCGGGTGACTTGGCAGGACTACAAAAGCAGTACAGCGACATTTTCCCAGACGACTTGCTGACGGGACTGCCACCTCAGCGACCGCACGACCATAGGATAGAACTGGAATCGGGGCACAGCCAACAATACAGCGACAGTTCCGACTTGTCAGAAACTACAGGCAGGAATGGATGAACTAGATGAAAGTTGGGTACAAGTATGAAACCCTAAAGGGGCTATACCCCATATCAGCTACCCCACTACAGCCTACACATATAGAATGCTTATATAATTTGAAACACCCCCATAGGCAAAGTGGGGGAGAGCAAGGGGTCACAAGACCAGTCAAGAAGAGCAAAGCAAGCTCAGGGTGGATCACAACGTCACCACACACACTGAGCACAAGCAAAGGGCCACAAGGCCAGTTCACATGCAGAGGTATATATGCAACAATAACAGCACAGTGATCACTACCTAGCAAGAGCAAGCATGCAGGTATAAAAATAGATCACAGAACAAACAAAGTCTACAGCAAGTGCGGAAACGTAGGCACAAGGCCTAACAAAGTACAAAAACGCTGATGATCACCAGATGGAAGTGCCTTGGTGAATATATCAGCAGTGTTGGCCCAAGTGGCCACGTGAGCAAGACGAAGCTGACCACGCTGCTGCAACTCTCGAGCCAGGAAGTAACGCAGAGCGATGTGCTTCGTTTTGTGCTCCAGTCTGTGCTCCTGACACAAGGCAATGGCGGCCTTGTTGTCGACGTACAGAACTGGAGGAGAACGAGGCCTCTCTCCCAAGTCGGTCAGCAGGTAGGTGAGCCAGCGTAACTCCTGTGCAGCCATGGCTGTGGCGTAGATCTCAGCCTCACAACTGGAGCTGAGAACAGAAGACGAGCGAGTAGACCGCCAAGAAACAGAGCCGGAGCCAAGGCTGAAAGTGTAACCCTGTGACGACCACTGCGTAGCCAGGTCGTCAACCCAAGAAGCGTCTGAGTGCCCAGTGAGGACAACTGGACTCCGCCCTCCAAGCACAAGTAGCGCAGTACCCTCTTCGCAGCATCCATGTGCACCTTTCGGTGCCGACCAGGAGCCACGTAGCGTGCCAGAAGGCTAAGAGGGTACGCAAGGTCAGGACGAGTGCAGGTCATCAGGTACATGAGGCAGCCCACTAGCTCTGGGTAAGGACCACTCGGCTCTACGGACTTGTCCGAAGGTGGAGCTGAGAGCGAGTGACCTGTAGCCAGAGGAGTGGACTGTGGCGAGGACCAGGTGAAGCCGAAGCGCTGAAGGACCTGTTGCACCATGTGTGACTGAGTCAGTGTGATGGTGCGACGTGCTCGGTCCCGGGTGATCTGCAAGCCAAGGTAACTGCGCAGCTCACCCAGGTCTGTGCACGTGTGTCTCTTCTGCAGCTCCGACTTCACCAGGGCGAGAGCCTCAGTGTCAGCAGTGGCAAAGTCCAAGTCGTCGACGTACACGAGGATGTAGAACGGCGGCAGCGAAGTGTCGGTGCGCAGAAACAGCGATGGGTCAGCAGTCGAAGGAGCAAACCCAAGAGCCGCAAGTGTAGTCCTTAGTGTGTCGTGCCACTCACGAGGTGCCTGGCGGAGACCGTAGACTGGCCGCCGGAGGCTCTACTGGGTACCAGGAGGAAACGACCCAGTGAAGCCAGGTGGGCGGCGCAGCCAGATCTCCTCGTGCAGGCTGCCCTGTAAGAAGGCTGTGCTGAAGTCCAGAGAGTGAAGCTCGTAGTCACGCTGAGCGGCAACGTGCAGCAGCACCCGAAGAGTGGTCATCTTCGGGGTGGGGGAGAAGGTCTGGAAGAAGTCAACTCCCTGACGCTGACTGAAGCCTCTAGCAACGTAACGAGCCTTGAAGACAGGCGGAGAACCAGGCGGTCGCTTCACCCTGAAAATCCACATGCCATCGACGATGTTCGCCCTAGGAGGGGGAACCTCATCGACGTAAGTGCCTGTGGACTTCCAGGATGCCATCTCTGCGTCCATGGCTACCTGCCACTGAGAGGAGTACTCACCCGCGATCGCCTCAACGTAAGAGCGCGGGGTCGGGATGTCTGGTGCATCCGGTTCTCCCTCAGGGGCAAGCAGCATGGCCACGAGATGAGGCACAGCGGCTGCAAGACACTCAAAGTCCTCCTGCCTGTCCTCAAGGACGTCCGTGCTAAGAGCACACTCACCCCCGACGGACGGAGGACAGACAGACTCAGACTCAGCAACAAGACTAGCAGCGTAGTCTAGACGACAGGCAGCAGCAAAGTCAACAAGCTCAGCGACTAAGGCAGACGCAGCAGTGGACTCAAACGAAGGGTCAGTGACAACAGTGGCAAGCAGACGCGTGACAGTAGGGTGAGCAGCACGAACGTGGTCAGACTCAGGGTCTGGAACGTAAGGTAGAGAAGACGCAAGAGGGGACGGCAGGGGAACACGCTGCGGAGCAGAGGAAGGACGAAGGGCCATGAGGTGCGTGCCGGGGACAGCCGGCGGACGCTCACGAGGAACACGACGACCAGTGCGAACAGTGCGAACAGGCGAGACAGGACGAGACGCAGGCTCACGACGCTCAGCAGGACCTCCTGTCTGCTCAGTGTAAGGAGAAGGAGCAGGCAGTGGTGAGCCAGGCTGTAACGAAAGACCAGTAGAAGACGGGAGGCTAAGAACCTGGCGAAGCACGGAGCCAGACGGCGGCAGAGACGACGGTGACAGCGGAGAGAAGAACAGCCGCTGCGCAGCAGTGCCACCAGCACCAGTAGCTCCAGCGCCTCCAGCAGCTCCAGAACCTCCAGCGCCAGCACCTCCAGCTCCAGCGCCACCAGCAGCAGCACCCCCAGAACCGGCACCTCCAGCGCCAGGGTCTCCAGCCTCAGGACGTCCAGTAGCAGCACCCCCAGGACCGACACCTCCAGCTCCAGGGTCGACAGCACCAGCTCCAGGGTCTCCAGCCCCAGTACCTCCAGCAGGAGGACCACCAGGTCCAGTAGCTCCTCCAGCCCCAGCAGCTCCAGTACCTCCAGTACGAGCACCTCCGGGACCAGCGGCTCCAGCACCTCCAGCACAAAGTACTAGCACCACTCCCAGCTCCAGGGCCAGCAGCTCCAACAGCACCTCCTGCGGCAGGGTCAGCAGTACCACCAACTCTAGGGTCCTCAGACCCAGCCGCTCCAGCGTCGCCTGCTCCGCGCTCACCAGCTCCAGTACCCTCTGAACCGGCACCCCCAGCTCCAGTGACGTCAGCAGAAGCGCCACCAGCGGCAGAGTCCGGAGCTCCAGCAGCGCGACCCTGACGGCGAGCGTACCACTCGTGTAGCTGCTGTGGGGAGAGAGGCTCACGCCGACGAGTGTGACTACGTAGGCGGCCACTCCAAGGAGACCGCTCACCAGCAGCCGCAGGACCCCCAGAACCGGCACCCCCAGCTCCAGTGACGTCAGCAGAAGCGCCTCCAGTAGCAGAGTCACCAGCTCCAGTACCTCCAACGCCAGCGGGGCCCCCAGCTCCAGCAGCGCGACCCTGACGGCTAACGTACCACTCACGCAGCTGCTGTGTGGAGAGAGGGACACGCTGACGAGAGTGCTGCGGCGAGGCACCAGCGGAGCGACTACGGAGGCGGTCGCTCCAAGGAGACTGCTCATCAGGCGCCTCAGTACCCCCACGCGCAGCACCCCCAGACTCAGTACCCCCAGGCTCAGCACCCCCAGACTCCTCACACTCAGGCTCAGCACCTCCAGGCTCCGCACCCTCAGGCTCAGCACCCCCAGGCTCCTCACGCTCAGGCTCAGCACCCCCAGGCTCCGCACCCTCAGGCTCAGCACCCCCAGGCTCCGCACCCCTAGCAGGACCACCCTTAGCAGGACCTGAGTCACTAGTGACCTCAACCGGCTCAGTCAAGGGAGGAGGGTCTACCTGAGACACACCTGAAGGAGCAGGACCTGGAGCGGGGAGGGGGTCTACCTGGGGAGGACCTGGAGCGAGAAAGAGCGGCGGGGGGGGAAGAGGGGCAGTGCGGTAGGGAAAGAGACGGTAAAAGGGGACCGACTCGTCAAAGGTGACGTCCTGAGACGCAAAGACACGGCGCGAGGCGGGGTCGTAAAACTGCCAGCCAGGCGCGTCAGGAGGAAAGCCAAGGAAGACACAGGGAATGGCGCGAGCAGAGAGCTTGTCCGCGGTGTGATTGCGGACAAAGGCACGAGCACCCCAGACCCGGAAACGCGACGCATCGCCAACCTCCCCCGTCCAACGTAGTGTGGGCGAAGTCTCCGGCACGGAGACACGGGGCCAGAGGTTGAGCTGATGCGCGGCGTACCGGACCGCAAACGGCTACAGAAAATGGGGGGCAGCCGCATGGATCATGGAGGTACGAGCGACCTCCATGACTAAGCCAATGCGGCGCTCAGCAACCCCATTCTACTGCGGAGAGGCCGGAAGCGTGAACGACTGGCGGATGCCGTGCTCCTCACAGAAGGCTCGCAAGAGGTCGGAGGTGAACTCACCACCCCTGTCAGAGTGCAGACGCAAGACAGGAAAGTCCGACTCGAACCGCTCGCGGAGCTGGAGACGAACAGCGCGGATCCAAGGGATCAAAACAGCAGGGACGTCCCCCTTGCGCTGCAAGGGGAAGACCGTGGTGTAACGCGTGTAGTCGTCGACGACCAGCAGGAAGTACCGCTCGCGGCCCTGCCTTTGGACGGGGGCTGGGCCCCACACGTCCAGGTGGAGAGTCTGCAGTGGAGCCTCTGTGGGAGGGAACGAGGAGGAGTGAGGAGCGGCGCGCTGCCGCCCCTCGACGCAAGGAATGCAGGGCGGCGCAGGCGAGGGAGGGAGGGAGGGCAGAGACCTGGGAAGACCAGAGACCAGAAGGCGAGAGTGCATGCCACGAAGGCGAGGCAGGGAGGGGTGACCAAGGCGGAGTTCGTCGCCCTTCGCTGTACCGATACTCTTCACGTCGAAAAAAGACGGGGGTTTTTGCATGAGCATAAATTACCGCGTACCATCAAGTTCCGTTACTGATCAACCAACTTCACAAAGCCCGCGTCTTCTCGAAAATCGACCTTTCGAGGAGGTTACCACCAGAATCGCGTAAACTCGCACGATTGCCCGAAAACCGCCTTCTAAACCCGCTACGGATCATTCGAATACACAGTCATGCCCTTTGGACTGATCAACGCTCTCGCCACTTTCCAAATAGCCATGAACGAAGCTTTCCGCCCGTTTTTGGATAAGTGCGTTATCGTTTACTTGGACGATATACTGATTTACAGCCCAGACCGAACACAGCACCTACAGGACATTGAAGCAGTTTTTCAAATACTGAGTGAGAACCGACTACTGACGAAAGCGTCTAAGTGCGAGTTCCTACAGGACAGACTGGAGCTTTTCGGGCACGTAATTTCAGCCGACGGAGTGGAAAAAGACCCGAAAAAAGATCGCGACGATTCAAGCATGGCACTTGCCGACCAATCTGACTGAGCTGCAGAGTTTTCTAGGGTTCGTCAACTACGTGCGCCGGTCAACTATGTGGTGAAGCTGACCGCCCCACTGACGGATCTGCTACGAAAGGGGACCGAGTGCACGTGATGGGAGAAAGAGCAAGCTGCCTTCTCGGCCCTCAAGAAAAAAAAAAATTTGTGCTCACCGCCCGTACTGCACATCGCCGACCCACACCGCCTGTTCGAACTTGTCACCGACGCAAGCGACATTGCCACGGGAGCAGTAATGTTTGCAGAACTTCGGGAAGGGCCTCCAGCCAATCGCGTACGAGTCCCGCAAGCTTCACTCGCCTGAGCGCAACTATTTGATACACGACCGCGAGATGCTGGCGATCGTGCACGCGTTCAAGGTGTGACGATGCTACCTCACTGGAGCAGACGTGACAGTCCAGACAGACCACAAATCGCTACAATACCTTCGCGCTCAACCAAACCTAAACTCGGGACAGATTCGCTGGTTGGATTATCTGGAATCCAACTTCCACTACACCGTCACGTACAAAAAGGGAGTGTCGAATATTGCTGACGCACTCACCCGCCCCGCCGCCCAACTTCACGCCATCCTACTCGCCCAAACCAACCCAGTGCTAACAGACCTATTCACCCACTGTTACTGCACCGACCCATTTTTCACAACTGGGATTTCACAGCAACTCACGGAAGCAAAGGTAGTGTGTTACATAAAACCCGGTACCAATCGCATCAGGGTACCAGTGTATTCACTGCTGAGGGAGGTGCTACTACAAGAGGCACACGAGGGGGTTACCTCGGATCATTTCAGGGTAGAAAAGACGCGACAGCAACTGTGGCGGTATTACTATTGGCCAGAGCTGTTGACCGACGTACAGCACCACGTGGGGTCCAGTCCCACGTGTGAGGTGTTGAAGAGCTCGCGAAAGCGAAAGGCGGGTCAAACGCAGCCGATTACACCGCCCGAGCGTGCCTGGCAGCAGGTTACCATCGATTTCGTGACATAGTTACCTTCTAGCCCTAGGGGTAACGACGCGGTTATGGTCGTCATTGATAAACTGACAAAAATGGCTCACTTCGCTGTGTGCAGGAAATCGATCGCAGCCGAGGAAACCTCTCGCATGTTCATCGCAACCGTCATTCGACTACACGGGATACCAGCCTCGATAATCAGCGATCGCGACACGAAGTTTACCAGCAACTTCTGGAAGAACCTCTAGGAGCAGTTCAGGACCAGGCTACAGTTCAATTCGTCGTACCACCCCGACACCGACGGTCAAACGGAGCGGACGAACTAGACTATGGAGCAGTTGATTCGTACCACGTGCGATGACCCGACAATATGAGAGCAGCAGTTGCCGCTGATTGAGTTCACCTACAACAATGCCACGTCAGCGACGACGCATCAGTCCCCATTTTACTTGAACTATGGGCAAAATCCAACAGTGCCCATGATGCCTAGTCCGGACAACCCAACGCCACGTGCTCAACAGATCGTCGAGATCATGCAGGCTGCTTGAATACGAGCAGTAGACGCAATAAAAAAAATATCATCGCAAAGAGAAACGCTGACCGCCACTACCGCCCGGTAACATACTAGTCAGGGGATTGTGTACTGCTCGACATACAAAATTTAAAACTGCCCATCGTACCGAAACTTCGACTGCGCTATTGTGGACCGTTCCAAATCAGCCATATGATCACGCCAGTAACTGCCCATCTACTATTATCGACAGACTGGTACATCAGCCCATCGTTCCACGTCAGCCTGCTTCGCCCATACATCCCAACCACAAGCCAACTGCATCGCCACCGCCCGCCATCCATGACTCGCCCTGCATCGGAGCCAATCGTCGAGCCAGAGAAAATTCGGAGCCATCAGATTTGCCACCCCACAGGCATCAAGAGGATCGAGTTTCTCGTTTGCTGGAATGACCGCACGCCAACTGAAAACAGCTGGGTGCCCCTGGCCAATATTGAAAACCACCCTGCCCTGCAAGTGTACCTGAGGAGCCGGGGTTTCTGCGATATACACGCACTCGCGTAGCGGAGGGGGCTTCACTCGCATAGTGTAAGGATTGTTGGAATAACCGAAAGGTTAGTATAGCATTCCCGAAGGTACTCTTCTAGCGCACCACTTCACAGCGAAGCAGTGTCATTGTACCAGTATCGCGATATGCTCGTATAGAGCACGCGACAGCTCGAAGAAGTTACCCAAAGATCAACAGTCGCAGGAAGTCAACGGTCGCGACTGTTGACTGACAGACAACTATATTGGAGGTTACGCGATGCAACGCGGTAACTGTCAAGTATAGCAATAGTCGCAGTTACTGTACATATGGAATACAGTTGAATAAGGGAATGTACCCCTCAGAGTACATGGCTAGCTAGATTTCTATTTAAACCCCTTGTAATTCTATCTTAATTATCTTGTTCTTCTCAATCTATTATCAACAAGGTCACTACAAAGACTTCAGTTAGCAACCTTAGCAACCAAGATCTATTATCTATTATCTTGTCTTCTCCTGACTTAGCAACCTTATCTTATCCATTTCGATCCTTCAGTTATACCAACTTGGTATGAGAGCTAGAGTGGATTGTAAGGTCTGCCAAAGTTCTTGTTCTTCTTAGAACAAACTTCTTAAAATTACTCATTACATAAACAAGTATGCATTACTATGGCCCCTGAAGAGAAAACCACTGCAGACTCCCCCGGCCCACCACCAACAACTTATGCGCCCTCAATGGTGACCTTCGTCAGCGCCGCTCTCGTTGAGCAACTAGTTGCTCGCATCAACGCCCTTGAGAGCCATCAAGCCATGAGCATTGACGGCTCAAGCTATGCAAGAGGTGTTGCTGGACTTCCCCTCCCTGAAGAAGATTGTCGCGTCAACTCAGAGAGATCATTCACCTTCGACAACCGTCAAGCATTAGCTCCTGCGCAAGACAATCAGCAACGCGCAAAGTCAGAAACAATTGCAACAATGCAAACAAAATTCGTGTTGACATCAAAGCTGAAGACTTCAACGCCGTTTGACAGAAAGGATTTATACACGTGAAGCTTCGAATTCGAGCTCCTCGCAACAACCGCGCAGATTTGGATGTACTACGACGGGAGCTTCCCCTTCCCATTAAAAGGAACCATCCAAGAGAAGCACCAGTATTACCACAAATCA